AGGAATGGAGTCCTGATGAGTATAGTTGCTGGTGTGTTGGTTTTAAAGGTGAAAAAATGTCAGTGATGCTTAATAGGAAGAAGTTAGATGTATAGTAAATCCTTATCAGAATGCTTCATTTCATCCTAACTTTGTGTTTTATTTACTCCAGGGTAAATGGCAAACTGGTGGCCCTGAAAGTGATTAGACTTCAAGAAGAGGAAGGAACTCCATTTACAGCCATCAGAGAAGGTACACTTCCTTCTTTAATCGTCCTGGTTTCAAGGGTGGAGTCGCCATTTAACTCACAGTGGTCCATCAGAGGCTCTACCATGCAAAGGAAAGCCCAGCAACTCTGTTTGTGTCTTGGCTCAGACTCTTCATTGGCAGTGGTAATGCCTCAGGGGCGACTGAGCTTAGCTTGTCTCAGGGCTGTTTTCATAAGAACATGAACACACAAAGCTGCCTGTTACATTGAATCAGATTAGAAACAGAAGAGGTTTGAAATAGCTTGAAATAGCCCTGCCCCCGACTTGGTGGAACACTCTGCCAAATAACATCAGGACCTTGTGGGATCTTATGCAATTCCGCAGGGCCTCTAAGGCAGAGATGTTCCGTCAAGCATTCGGTTGAGGACAGCGATGGTTGACATCATGGCTGGCAACCTACATGGACTCGGTTTGTTGTGGAGCCTACCCCCCTTGTACGTGTGAAGCACTCACAGACCAGATGGGAGGGAACTGCAATTTTTTTTTGCCACTTGCTTTTAACCACTGTATAATTCTGATATGGCTTTTATATGTTTTTATGATTTTAGAATGTTGTACATCGCCTAGAGCCCCACGGTTGTGGGGATTAAGCAGTTAATAAATGTAATATAATAAATAAATCGGCTATACTTAGATGTCTTCATAAAGATTCTTTTTAAAAACACACATGAAGTGTCTATAGTGAAAGTTTAGATTTTAAAACCTTCAGCGTAGCTGCTGGAGGTTTTACACACAAAGGTACCTCATACTGAATCAGATCAATGGTCCATTCAAGTCAATATTGTCAGACTAGCAGTGGCTCTCTAGGGTCTCAGGCAGAGGCTTCTAATACTCCTCCCCCTCACCCTCCTACACTGGACAGGCAGCTGCCTGTCAGGTGTAGGAGAGGAGGTGGGATGCTTACAGCCACCGGGGAGGTTTGCTCAGCAAGATTGCCTTAGCACTGCTGCTGGCCCAGCCTCCCTGATGCCTTTAAATACAAACTCCCCGAACAGGTCGGTGTCTGTCAGGTGTAGGAGCAGGACCAGGGTACTTTAATCCATCAGGGATACCGTCCCAGCAGGATCACCTTAGCGATGCTCCTGGCCCAGCCTCTCTGATGGCTTCCAACACACTCCCCCCCACCTCCTACACCTAGCAGGTGGTTGTCTGTCAGGTGCAGCAGTGGTTGCTAGGTGCTTAAAGACACGAGGGAGCCTGCCCCAGCAGTAACACCTTAGTGATCCTGCCAGCCCTGCCTCAACAGTGGCTTCTAATACTACTCCCCCTCCCTGTCCTACACTGGATATGCAGCTGCCTGTTAGGTGTAGGAGAGGAAGTGGGATGCTTACCGCCACCAGGGAGGTTTGCTCAGCAGGATTGCCTTAGCACTGCTGCTGGCCCAGCCTCCCCGATGCCTTTAAATACAATCCCCCAAACACCAGACAGGCCAGTGTCTGTCAGGTGTAGGAGCAGGGCCAGGGTATGAATGTTAATTGGAAGATAGTAAAGGATATTTCTAGGAGCCATTTCGATGCATGCCTCCCTCATGAACTTGAAGGAATGTCCACCACATCACCACTCCCTCACATCAACTCCACCTCACACCACTCTCACCCCCAAGAAAGCTCCTGGCAAACGTCGAGCCAGATACACCAACGCTACAAGGAGGAGGCAAGGACATTTGCACATAGTACTCCTGCAGTGCACTGAGCTGCACAGGCCAAGTACCAGCAAGATCACCCTGAGGTGTTCAGAACAACACAGTCTCCATAAGAGCAAAACAATCCAGGAACACAAGTAGAGAGGCCATCACTTTCGTGGAAGGTAGCAGGTTGACTTAACAGATGACTGCTTCTTAAATGGATCGTTCTATGTGGCCTGCTCCAGAGTGAGCTCACCAAGCAGCCTGGTGATCCTAGCACCTGAGGGCAGAACCACCAGTGTGGTCTAGAGAGAGGTCCTTCAGTAGATTAAAGAGTACATATGTCTCACTTCATTTCTTACACTACAATCTTTTCCATTAGAATTCCTACAACAAATGTCACATTTCAAATTTCACATCATCAGTATTATAACTGGATTTACGGAACTTAAATACCGTAGCAAAGCACGGGTAGCAGGCTGGTTTCCTGTATGATAATGTGATGGAAAGTGGAAGCAGCTGTGCAATTTCATGTCTGTTTAATCACATGTTGTATCACACAAATCCTCTGTGCATAACAGTTAACTGACTGCATTGCAGTGCTTTTCTAGTAAATCCAAATCTTTTCTATCTCATACCTCCAAAAGCCTGTCTTTGGTTTGCTGCAGATGTACAAAAATTATTTCCAAAATAAGGTTAATTCATAGCATTGTTTTTACACTAATAGAAAATTATGCATTCACACAATCTATTATAAACGTTACATGATGTAATGACTTGATTCAATTTAGTATTAATGTATAACATGGGCTCTGTGAACAGCATTATTCTAAAAACCCATTTCCATGCATGCAGGGCAGAGCACTGTGGATGGACCTTTGGTCTCTGAATAGCTGAACTTTTTGGTATCATAAATAAGCAAGTACCTGTAAACTAGCAAAGCTGTGGCAGAAGCATGTTAACGTTTACACATTGAGTTTCCTTTGAAGTTTTAAGGCCTCCTCAAATGAATTTTTTCCAAGTTAAAATAATAGGTGTTTATATAGGTAGCTCAAGACTTTTCTTTTACTTGCAAATTGCCATAGTAACAACTGTACACTAGAAGAAAGCTACTCCAGATGATATATTGAATACAGAGATGTTTCTGTTCAAAATAGGCTCTACTGGCTATGTACATTTAGGTGTTGTTAGTACATCTAATAACACCTTGGTGAAATAGGACTACTCACAGATAGCGAGGCAAAGATTTAAAGTGGGTGTGGAATTTAAAGACTGGATGTGCCCATTGCCCTAAAAGAAGCATGGAATGTTAGTATCAGGTAGGGTTGCCAAGTCCAAAAAACGCACCGGTGGGGGAGCCTCGCTGGGCTCCGGGAGCTGTCATTGGGTGTGCGTGCGCCGCCAGCGTATCACCAGAAGTGACGCACGACGTCAACCACGTTGGGGGCGTGGCCCGGATCGTTGGAGGGAAAACCATAGAGTTTTCCCTCAGACGATCCTGGCCACGCCCCCAACGTGGTCGACGTGGTTGCATCATCTCTGGTGACGCAGCCACGTTGCACTTCGAGAGGCAGAGTCCCCCCCGGAGCCCGATTCCGCGGCGGCGGAAATCGGGCCTCCACTTGGCAGCCCTAGTATCAGGAGCAGTAGAAAAGAGTAAGAGTTTCAGTAGCAGATACCTGAAGAAGTGAGCAATGAGTCATGAAAGCTCATACCCCACCACAACTTCTGTTAATCTTTAAGGTGCTATTGGACTCTTACTTTTTTCTGCTGCTAAAGACAGACTAACACGTCTACCCACCTTGTAGTACCATGAGGAGAGAGAAACCAGGAGAATGGAAGGTTGTATTCCCTATCCATAATTCCACTTCTGGTCAAAATGATTTCAGAGGTGGGGCTATTCATTAGCATCAGAGGAATAACATGTGCTGATTGTAAATAACTGCACAATTCCCCAAAGACCAGATAGGAGGATTCCCCAATTAGGCAGGGTTTTTTTAAAAAAACTTTGGTTAAAGGGGAGGGGGGAGTCCTCACGACAAAGGGCACATAAAATCAAACACCTACTATAAAAACAGAAAGTTAGAATCTGTTAGAAGTAATGGAAGGGATAATTGGCCCCCAGAGAGCTATTTTCCTCTCCTCTCTTGTACAAAGACAATAAATGTTTAGAGAGGAATTTGCTTCAGATGCCAAAATAATTTGCCCTGCTTTGGCTAGGTAATGACTGCAGCTGACTTGCAGTAGACCCTGAAATGTTTCTGCATTGCTGTACCACTCAGGTTCAGAAATTTTCTGTGCAGGTTTCTGAATATTCCATTGCAGACTCTGCTTCAGTATGTGTGTGGGGGGGGGGAATTGGGGTTAGAGGCATCCAGGGCTCTTTTTGTAGAAAAAGCCCAGCAGGAACTCAATAGCATAATAGGCCACACCCAACAGCAAAACTCATTAGCATATTAGGCCACACCCTGACAGCACCGCTCATTAGCACATTAGGCCACACCCCCATGTTACCAGAAGTGTGGTCATCCAGCCACACCCACCTTTCCCTTCTTATTCTGTTTACCTTGTTTGTTGTCAAAACCCAGGGCTTTTTTTGTAGCAGGAACTCCTTTGCATGTTAGGCCACACACCCCTAATGTAGCCAATCCTAATGAGTTTCTGCTATTGGGTGTGGCCTATTATGCTAATGAGTTCCTGCTGGGCGTGGCCAACTCAGGAGCCAGCCGGAACTCCGTTCCTGTGCGTTCCTGCCCAAAAATAGCCCTGGAGGCATCCATCTTGAAGAAATGTAATAAATACGGCTTGCATTCTGTAAGGATATATAGGCTCATATGGCTGTTGTTGAAAATCTGCCACCACCGATTTGTGGATTGATTGAATGAAGGGAGAACTCCCACTTCTGAGCACTCTGTTGCACTTGTGCCTTGGCATACTCTTTTTCTAGATTGCTGGCCACTATTATGGGGAAGGGTTTGTGTTGCATATTTTGACTGTAGTGTTGCATGGCTTTTGAATGAGGTCATGCGCATTTCATATCTGTGCTTATACTAGCAGGGTTCTCAGTCATCATTGTTGATGTGGATGGAGATTGTGATAAACTGCTACCGTCTCCTCCCTTAGGACAAAGTTTTCCTTCCCATCACCACCATTCCATTTGTTCATAAGGCATATTTAAAATCTTCCCATAAAAAGGAATCCTGTTAGCCAGAACAATACCATCTTAATTTTTTAAAAGATCCAGAAGCACAAGTTAGTACTTACAAGCAAACCTAAATTTATTATTAAATAAATTGGCATTTGAAGTAAAAAAAATAAGTAGACAAACTTGGAAAGATGGTATAAAGCACACAAAATAG